ATCATTGAAACAGTTTCTGGGGAGGAATGTTCAAGCTTAACGCAAAATCTGATGCAGATTCCTTGGTGTGCTTGCTCAGTCACTTTGAATATGACGGCCACACAGTACACATGCTCACTCACTCCACAGCGTCTTCCATCCCCACTGATTAGTACAGTGAAGTCACCATCGTTCATGCATGCGCACTCCAGTCCATTCTACAATGTAACCTTGGCTGGCAGGTTACATTGATGTTGTGCAAACTGCTCTCATTGTATTAACAATGGCTGGACTTTTTCTGGGCAGATCTTGTAGGTATTCACACATGCATATTCCAAACAATATTAAAATTATATAAACTTAAAAATTGTTCACAGTCCCACCACCTCCATAAATTATATATTTTAATATTTAAAAAGCTAAGCTCTTTTTGTATACTTTAAATCTACCAAAGCAAAATGGGATAATGTTTAAAGTAAATTTTTGAAATGTTATTCTTGAAACGTAGGTTAAAAAGTCAAAATCTTTTTCTGATGAGCAGATATTCATATTTGCAGAGCCTTAATCTTCTCCTGTCTCTCTCAGTTTTTAGTCATCTCCTTCCATCATTTTGGTTTGCTTTTCTCTTTTCCTCCTCAACCTCAGGGATCTCCGGGGTTCTTCTTCCAGTTTATCTCCAGTCTTCTCCTTCCCTTCATCTGCTCACTCTGAGGACCTACTCAGCACTGCTGAGGACCTACTACTACTGCTACTACTACTGCCTCTGAGGACCTACTCAGCACTCAGTAGTGCATGCTGCTCCTACTCAAATCTTATGTAGGAGCAGCATGCACTTTCCCTCTTGTTATCAGATGTATAATTTGCATGTGTTACATGTTGGCTTAATATATGTGTCCCCTTCCCTTTTTTGCACAAAATGCCAGAGAGTCGAAAAAGATTTTATGGCCAACCTTGCCTTGCATTTTGGAACATCTTTCTTACCCAACCTGTTATGACTGTGTAGCAATAGTACTCAGATAAATCCCCATAAAATGTCACAACACTGAATGAGGCGAACTTGTCAGCAAGTCTTGTCCATGAAAAGTGGCTGCCGCCTGTGGCTGAACATCCAGGACTTCAGTCAAGGAGGTACTTGCACTTTATCTCGGGATCAAATGTCTCAAGATCGCACGTTTTGAGAGCTCAAAGAACCCCAACTTTTTCTCTTTTCCCCAAGAAACGGTCAGTCCCTCCTCCACCCTGGCTGGAGCAGGGGCTCCCGAATGGGTTTCCAGAAGCTCTCTGATGACCGCACACCAGCAGAGAGTCCTTTTGTTCGACATGGTCATTGTAACGACTTTGAAGGCTTTGTCTTAAGAGACAAAGTTTCTGCGTCTAGAGAAAAAGGCTCAACAAAAGTCTGAATTTCCTGACATAATAAATCCAACACCCAGGGCTCAGTCTCCCCACCTGCCCCACTCCTTGCCTCGCCTGAGCATTCCCTGCTTCCACACCCTGGCTTCTCCTTGCCCTTCCCAATCCACAGTGTTTGCGGCAGAAGTAGTAAGCAGTGGTCAAGGCTTGCAATCCTTACTCCTGCTAAAGTGGGAGTGTAGTTCACATGCACCTCCACACCTGAAACAGGAATCAAAAAGACCTGAGGTACAGTTCCAGCTCTGCCAGAAACTGCCTGTGTGACCTTAGCGAAATTATTTAATGCCTGAGGTTCTCTCTCTTCATCTATAAAATAGAAAGGAAAAAAAATTAACTACCATGCTACCTCACAGGGTGCATAGAAGTAGAATGTGGTGATGTGTATGGAAGAGCCTTAAACACAACTAATTATTTACTACAGCACATGTTCAGAAATAGTCGTAGTTTACCACTGCCCTTGGCTAGGGAAGATCCACTTACAGAGTTGGGAGAATCTTCTTGCCAGTACAGGAAGTGAGAGGCAGTTCTGGGATAGTGCGTGCACCCTGGTCCTTGCTGAAGTGTCTCTTCACCTGACCCCCAGCCCGCCCCCCCACATCCTCCTCTACTTCTCTGTGTAGAGAAATGTCCCTTCTTTAAGGACATTTTCTCCCATCTTTGGGCCCCTGTGTCCTAAAGACTTATGCTGTGTTGTAGAACCACGGGGCCTTCCTGAGAGCTGTATGCACAGCTTAACTCGAGCCGGTGACTCTGCCCTTCTTCGCAGCTGTTCCCGTTCCTTTCCGTCCCACTCCGTTTCAAACATTTGGGCAGATGGTGTGTTAGGTGCTGGGAGAGAAAGAAAAACGACATACAGTAAATTTTTGAGTCAGGACTCACCAATTGTGAGAAAGACACACAAGTAACCCCAACCCGAAATGTGATACAGGCTCCAATCTGGTAAAGACAATATATTCGAAAGGACAGAGGAGGAGAGATTAATTCTAAGTGATACACTCTGAGGAGGTTTATGGGATTTGAGTCGTGAGTACCTAGCAGAGAGGACTTTGATGGGTCCTAAAATAGGAATGGGCCGGGCTAATCGGAGGGATGCATCTGCGAAGGGGGAGATGCAAGATAGAGCAGGGGAGGCAGCAGGGGAGAAGTCTAGGGCGTGGGAGGGTGGATCGCAGGCCAAGTTGTTGAATGGGGCAGATTTTCAGTGCGCTTTTTCACCCTGTGTGAATGAATCTACTGGTTTCATTCCCTGAATTGACATTGACTGTTGGAAACTGAGTCACCTTCGTTGTATATCATTCTCATACTTCCTATGACACCCAATTATGATAGGATTTGGTTCCTGGAATCTTTCAAAGTCTGCATCAGGAGTGGAAATAAACCAATACTTTCATGGGTTTACGTAACTGTACTTTTGATACTCTTTTCTCATTAACAGTTGAGAGTAACTGGTAATCGTGGAGTCTAGTGATGTCTGGTGAAATAAACAAATGCGGAGAATGGGGCCTGTAATATCACAACTGGGACTCACTCTCTGACCCAGTGCTTAGAAAAAGCTCCCCAAGGACCATGCCAAAGCAAATACAAAAAGTTGCAGTTGGATATTAGTGCCTGTGATTCACACAGTTTATGATTACATTTTTAAATGTGGTAAAGGAAATTAGCCCAGAAAAGGGCTGTCTGAATATTTAATACTATTATGGAGAGGAAGGATTTGTATAGATTTAGAACTTAATTCCCTCTTCTCACTGAGATAACACCACTGTGGGCTATATATTCATCAATTATGAATATAAAACTAGGACTAAAGACAGAAGGAACATTTTAGTGGAAGTGCAATCTTATCTCTCAGAGCACACAAAGAACATGGTGTGAAAGAATTATTTTTTTCTGGGAAGCAAATTCTCTTCTATATACACCCAGCCCAGGGGAAAATCAGGTTGGGCTTGGAGGCCAGAAAGGGCTCTGTTAGTGAAAACCCTTCCCCCTCCAGCAGGGCTGATGTTTTGAGATGCCCAGAGTAGTTGACAAACATTTCCTGTATTTTCCAGATTTCCCAACTGGTCACATAACCAGCAAAATGTAATTCCAGTTTTCAGAGCTGGGTGTGCGCTGGCAGCGGGGAGTTAGAAGCAGAGAGAAAGGCTGATGCTCGCTGCTACGCTCCTGGCCTGGAGCAATCTCGGTATTGACATCAGGTGTCCCCTTGTGAGAGCTCATGGAGACTCTCTGTCAACAGTCCAATGTGAGTCAGGGGACAGGTGGCCACCACAGTTAAGTCTGCCTTCATTATGTGCTGTGATGACAGCATCCCTGTCATTGCAGTCTCCACTGGTGTCGCTGGGGGTTTGAGGAACAAGAGAGGGAGCTGGTCGAGAGGCCCCACATGTTAGGGATCTGGGAGCTCAAGATTTCACAGCCTCTGTCCTCCAGGGATGGTTCATTTTCGGTGTCAGTTTGGCTGGGCTATGGTACCCTCTTGTCTGGTCCAACACCAGGCTGCATATTTCTGTGAAGGTATTTTTTTAAAATGACATTAACATTTAAGTCAGTAGACTTTGATTAGAGCAGATTATGCTGCATAATGTGAGTGGACCTCATCCAATCAGCTGAAGGCCTGAAGAGAAAAGCCCGAAGTCTTCCAAGAAAGAAGGAATTTTGCCTTCAGATTGTCTTCAGACTCAAAACTACAGTACCAGTTCTTCCACGAGTTGTCTGTGGGCATGCACATTCATACCTGCCAGCCCTCGCAATCACAGGAGCCAACTCCTTAACGTCTATCTCCCCCCACTCTCTCTCCAACTATGGGGGGTGGGCATCAGAAAACTGGAATGATCTTCTGGAGGGTGGGCCCCTTGTAGCACAGGGGAGTGTTCTGGGAACCCGTCTATATCAGTGTACCAGCTGGCATCATTGTGAGAGGCTGTGTTTGGCTTCCCTGAATTTTTTTTGAAAACTTTCAATGTGCTTGCCCATTTCATGATGGGCAATTTACAAGCAGCCTGCCCACACTTCACTGAGTGTTCAGCAGTTTTTGACCAAAAACAGCATGAACCCTGTGTTCCACCCTCCCTATTCACTGGATCTCACTTGGAGTGACTTTTTTTTTGGTTTTGTTTCCCTGGATGAAAAAAGTCTTCAAAGGAAAATGTTTTGCTGATGTGGAAGAGGTGAAACGAAAAACAGCAGAAACACTAAAAGGCATGAAAATCGACAAGTTCAAAAACTGTTTTGAGTAGTGGAAAAAAAAATCTCAATAAGTGTATTGCATCAAATTGAGAGTACTTTGAAGGTGACTGAGGTTTAAACATGTAAGAATATACAATTTTTAATAATAAATTCTGAGGTTTTTTGGATCCCCCTTCATTATATATATATATATATATATATATATATATATATATATCACTGAAATTATATCTACCTAGCTACCTATCCTATTAGTTCTGTTTTCTCTGGAGAACCTAACTTTCTAGCTAATGAATACTCTCTTGCTCTCTCTCTTTTTTGCTTGTTGTTACTTGTATTGAATAGTCAGAGTTGAGTATTCCAGATAGGACGTGAAAGTGCACTCCACATCATCGGCTAAACTTTTTTCTCACTGGTATTAGTTCCCCATCAGGCCAGAAGACTGACCGATAGGAGTAAAGGGTCATGAGCATGGCTGTGGAATGAGGCATGAAGAGCGCGGGGCCTGTTCGCTTTAGCCCCAGCTGTCCAGCGTTACCCAGCTCTGCCTTCCAGCCCGCCCCTGGCACGTTGCACTCGAGGGTGGGCTGCGCGGCACTTCCCTGAGAAGAAGGTATGTAAGCTTCCTTTCTTGGTGGTATCATGTTGTCTTGACCTATGTTTGTTGTTTTTCTGAGCAAAAATGGCTGGAATTTTATAGGTGACAGCTCAAGATTTTACGTTTTGATTTGTTTTAGGGTACCCCTTATATTCTTCTGATTTTCACTTGGTAACAGAACAGTCTCCAGTTTGGCACTGATCAGTGGAACTTTCTACGACAATGGAAATGTCCTCCCATGCTGTCTAATATGCCTCATGAGGCTACCGAGTCTTTAAAGTAGGGCTCATGTAGCTGAGGGATTAAAATTAAAATTAAAATTTTATTTAATTTAAAGTCGTTTAAATTTAAAAAGCCATGTGATACTATAAGTTACCATGATGCACAGCGAAAACCCCAAAGGAAATTGTTACAGAAATTGTCTCACGTGGTCATGGAGGCTGAGGAGTCTGGTGACCGGCCGTCTGCAGGCTGGAGAACCAGGGAAGCCGCTGCTGTAACTCACTCCAGGTCCAAAGGCCCCCGGATCGGGAGACTGAAGGTGCAGGCCCGCCTGAGTCTGAAAACCCGAGAACCGGGGCTGCTGGTGCCTGGGGGCAGGAGGAGATGGATGTCCCAGGTCAAGGCGAGAGTGCAAGTCTGCCCTCCCTGATCTTTTTTGTTCTGTTCAGGCCTCCGATGAATCAGGTGATGCCCGCCTGTGGTGATGAGGGTGGTCTTCTTTACTCTGCTGATCCAGATGAAAATCTCTGGTAGAGAAGTCTCCGCAGACATTCAGAAATAATGTGTTACGAGCTATCTGGACATTCCTTAGTCTAGTCAAACGGCCACAAAATTAGCCACTATAACAAGTAAAAGCGAATGTCTTTTCATGAATCAACTGAATTATAAAAAATGTAATGAAAATCCTTACTACTTGTGACCGAAACCCTTGGCCCAGCGGTATCAGCACCATCTGTGAGCTTCTTACACCTGCGGACTCTCAGGCCCCGTCCTAGACCCACTGAACCAGAATCCGTGCCGCAACACGACGCCAGTGCACGTGCTCCTGGAAGCTGGAGGATTGCTGATGTAAACCGTGCAGTCTCAGTCCACAGATGGAGGCGGGGCAGAGCAGCGAGGCGTCCATCCAAGTCCCTTGTGCGACTTCTTCTGAGTGCTCTCCCTGCACCATGCCTCCAGCCTCAGTGCTGGGGGCCAGGGTCTCCAAACCTGGTGACGGCATGGCCTTTCTGGGGAAGTATTAGACACTTTCTATACGTGGTTTTGATTATTCAAGATGCTACACCTGCTCACAAACTTCTGCTTTTTTTCTTGCTCTCTTAGAGCAGAAGATTTCTTACAGGGAAAAGACGTTGCTCCTGACTAAGTGTCTAGTTGTGCTGTGTGAAACCTTCCGTCGCTGATAAAACAGCTCTACAGTGTACAAACTGACATCTGCATTGGTTTCCTGTTCATGTTCAAATACATTACATCTTACTAACAGCATTGGACACCGTGAATGTTAAATGCTATATGTGTTTATGACTACCACATACCAAGCTCTGCTCTATTATTATTTGGGGAAGTAAAGGTGAATGGTTTTCAGGAACAACTATAAAGGACACGTGGACAAAACCAAGGGGGGAGTGGAATCAGAGGAGGGAGGTGGGGGGGTGGCAGGGGTGGGGGGGAGAGGAGGGGGAAAATGCAGGCCACTGAACCTGAACAACAATAAAAAAGTGACAGCATATAATAGAGACTGGAGGTGGTAAATATAACATTTACTTTATTTAAATTAAATGTAGTCATTGGTAAGCAGTGTGCTAGAAGAGTCAAATAACCACTGTTATGTGTCCCTCAAGGTCGTTTAGTCCACGATCCATGGCCACATATTTATTAGGTTCTAAAAACAATCCTGAACTGCTCAGCTTTTCCGACACCATGAGGGTGTCACGTCAAGCACCTTCCAGCAAAGCTGTCCCGTCTCTCCCATGTCTGGTGCTTGGTGCTGACTGTTGACTGACCTTGAGTCTTAGGGTTGGTTTGTGTTTTTTTTGCAATTTTTCTTTATTTTTATTATTGGCACTATTACAGATGTCCCCATTTCCCCCCCTTTGCCCACCTCCACACAGCCCCTATCCCTTCCTTTGGCTGTCACCACACTGCTGTCTGTGCCCACGGGCTATGCAGATGTGGTTAAACCCAGAGTCACTGCCAGAGAGGACTGCGCTGGGGCACAGATACGGGGAGGCGTGATTCGTTGGTGGGGGTCGTTACTATAATAAACATGCCAGTTGTTGTATTATATGTATTACAGTTTAGGTTTTCCATCCTTAAAATGTAGATGATAACTATTGTATTTACCTCATAGAATTATCACCAAAGTCAAATGATCCACTGCATGTGTACTGTTTTTCACAGTGCCTGGAGCATTGTAAGTTTTCAATAACTATTATTATGTTGAGGACTTGTTAATTCCTTTAGGAAATGAATTGAGGTATGTACTTGGTAAAGACATTAGATACCATTGGGAAATTACTTATTCTCCCATACCTTTTCAAAAACATCGGGTATTATCACTTTGGACAACCGCTGTCACTCCGAGGGGCGAAAAATGACTCACTGTTACCATTTATGTTTCTTTGTATATCATTCCCATAGATTTTTGACCTTATGCACTTCTTTTGTGACTGGCCTGTTCATTTGCCTTGCCCATTGAGAAGAAAACAAATGTTTATTCTGAAATAATTTTAGGTTTGCAGAAAAGTTACAGAGATAGTACAGAAAGTTCCTGCACACCCAGGTGACACTGTGTATTACCACGGGACGTTTGTCATAACTCAGAGACCCATATTAGGATGTTACTGTTAAGTAAGGTTCAGACTTCAGTTAGATTCACCCGTTTTCCTACTAATGTCTTTTTCTCTTCTAGGATCCAGCCCAAGTCACCACATCGCATTTGATCATCATGTTTCCTTAGCCTTTGGCTTGTGTGACAGTTTTTCATCTTGGTTTTTCATAACCTTGACAATTTTGAGGAGCACTGGTTCGATATGTTGTGGAATATCTCTCACTTTGGCTTTGTCTGATTTTTTTTTCATGGTTCATCTGGGTCGAAGGATATTTGGGACAAATACCTCGGATGTGAAATGCCTTTCTCGTCCAGCCCATCAGGTGGCCCATGCTGCCAGCATGACTTAGAACTAACTGGTGGCCTTAGCCTCGGTCGCTTTGTTCCGGTGGTGGTGGCCAGGCTCCTCCGCTGGGAAGTCCTTGTTTCTCACTTTCCTTACTCTGTTCTTTGGAGGCAAGTCACTAAGTTCGACCCACAGTCCAGATGAGGGGTGGGGGTTAAACGCCCCCTCAGGAAAGGAAGATATATTGGTCTGTTAGGGCTGCCATAACCAAATACCAGACACGGGGTGGTTTGAACTACAGAAATTTATTTCTCCATACAGACAAGGAGGCCAGGGTCTGAGATCAAGGTGTCAGCAGCTTTGGTTTTATCCGGAGGCCTCTCTCCTTGGTTTGCAGAAAGCAGCCTTCTTGTTGTGTGTTCACGGGGCCGTCTTTCTGCGTAGAGTGTGTGTTTGGCGTTAGGGATGTGTGCAAGCTGTATATTTAGGAAGGCAGGAGAGAGTGGAAGAGGACCCCAGGGGTTTGTGAGCACTTCCCTCTTTACTCTGCCAGAAAGCATCTCACAGAGGCCATGTCAGTACGGAGTCAGGGAAATTGGCTTCATTGCCTACATTTACTAGCTCTGAATGCTCTGGCATGTTACTTAACCTCACAAAGCCCTAGCTGTTTTATCATGCAAAGGGTGGATAATAATCACATGTAGGTTGTGGAGAGGATTACAAAAGATAATACACTGCTAGTGCCTGGAACACAATAAATGCTCAACAAATGTTAGCGTTTCTTTTTATCATTATTGTTATTACTGATATTATGCTGGTGCTCTATACCATCTCATTGCTACCACACCTGGGTCATCTGGGCCCCTGTCTGAGGATTAGAGCATTTCTTCTAAGCAGAACTCAAGATTTAGGGCCTTTGGGTTTTTCTGGGATTAGAAAGTATGACTCAGTGACACTCTGCGGCCAGTACTTTTGGCATTTAATAGACTGATCTTGGTATTTAGCTCCGAGTCCTCATATTTCTTGGATAGGTGTGGATTATCATCATGTGGACTTTCCCAAAGTCCTCAAGCTGCAAAGGACAGTCAGCTCTCTGTAGTCAGGCCTCAGTGCCACTCACTCACCAGCAGCTGTCACCAAGGAAGGACTGGTTCAAGGAACTTATGGAGAATGAAATACATTTCTCAATATTTTAGATTGATAGATTATTTAGATCAATAGCTTTGATGTATTTTTAGGAAGGGAACAAGTAGCTCCCAGCCCTCTGTTTGGATCATGCCCACTGCAATTTCTAGTAGTTACACAAAGACAAAATCGTAAACAACAGCAGACTTTCAAAGGAACTTGGAGATAAATTGTAGCCTGTAATGATTATAAGCTAAAATTGTCATGGTCACGCAATGACATGATGCTGGGGCTGCAGGGCCTGCGTTTTGCTAGCAGGACAATTGAAGATCGATCCTTGTCCCGCAGACATAGAGTTCATACTGGAGAAAACGCTGCCAGGCCACGCATAGCCCCTTATGGGAACCTGTCAGGTGAAATAGTCTCCCAAATGGGCTCTGTGTTTGCAGAGCTCCAGCCCTCCAGGTCCCTCTTCTGTATGGACCATTTCACCTTAGAAAGTGTGCTCAGTACTCAGGGTGCCTAGAGAAATCTTCTCGGAGACAAAAATTTAAGGGCTCTGAGGAGAGTCCCCCAGCTGGCCGTCAGCCATGAAGTACTGTTAAAGATCAACTTCGTGTCAATTTCTAAATGTTCTTTCTTTTCAAGATTTTATTTATTTTTTTCTTTAGAGAGGAGGAAGGGAAGTTGAAAGAGAGGGAGAGAAACATCAATATAGGAGAGAAACAGTGATTGGTTGCCTCTTCTATGCATCCTGACTGAGGACTGAACCTGTAACCCAGGCACGTGCCCTGACCGGGAATTGAACTGGCGAAGTTTCGCTTTGCAGAACAGTGCCCAAGCAACTGAGCCACACTGGTCAGGGCCATGTCAATTTTTAAAGACAATGATAGGCCCCTATAGACTGCAAGAACTTTGCCCAACCACCCGAAGTGGCTACATGTCTCTCTCTCCCCACAACCTGGCTCCAATTCCCTATTCGCACTTTGCATGTAGGATGGGCCATCTCTTTCCCCCCTTATTGTCGCCTCCTCTCCCTCTCTCTTTTTAAAAATTTAATTCTAGATTGAGAGAAGACGTTCAAAATAGTATACAGAGTTACCAGCTTCCTGGAATGTTTAACATTGGACCTAAACAAGATAAAGTTGGATTTGGTTGGAAATGCTATAAATACATATATTACATGTACACACACAAATGTTGTATATATATATTTACACACACATATATTTATATATATGTGTGTGTGTTTAAATGGATGCAGAGCTCTCCTTAAAGAGAATCAGTCATTACTTTTAAGCCCCAAACCTTAGTTTTGAAGTTGTTTTGGATGCCCTGCTTTGTAAGGATGTTTGCTTAGTGAAGGGCAGCTGATCTGTGACAAACAGGGTGCATTGCTATCGCAAACAAATGTAGCCCAGGTGAAGAAGATTTTTAAAGCCATCAGGCTTATGACTTTTCAGAAAATGTAACCAAATGTTGGATTAAAAATAGGTGTAGTATGACACCTGATTTTCTTAGTAAGGCAACATTAGATATACTCAACAGACATTACCCTACTTTCTTCACTCGGGGCTTGTTACACCTAGCTCATCTGTAACATTTGCGAAGCACAAAGGGGCTGTACATGGGGTCTATTCTCATTTTTCAAGGCAGTTATGGTCTGTAACGTTGCTGTGGACAGTGAATCAGCAAACACTGGACCGCTGCTCCAAGGCAAAATACGGGGTTCGGTTCCTTTGAGATTTGAGTCACCTTTTTGTCAACTGATCAATATGCATCCTTGTTTTGTGTGTACCTCTGTTTAAAGACACGTTGTTTAATATACATCGTCGATTCATTAACGTTGAACTCACAGCCAACAGCACTGTATCTCATGCCGGGGTAAAACTCATCCGACGCCTGTATTTTCTCAGCGAGGCACCGCGCAGCCTTCTTGCTGTGTGGGACACCGCACAGCGCGGCAACACGGAGCTAGCAGGCCCTTTTAAACAGCAGCATCGCCAGCAAAAAGTGAAAAAAAAAAAACGTGAGACTGTGGTGTTGCATGGATTGCGAGGACACTTGTGCGCAGTGTGAGAGCTGCAGCGAGGCGGAGTGTCAGTCGCTCAGCCTTAGCTGAGAACGAGTGCGTAGCTCCTCAGATCCCCTGCTCTGAACGTCTTAGCAAATGACTACGGAAGGCCTATGAGTATTGATTTTGAGGCTACAAATAAATTTTAGCAGATGGAAAAACTCAACAAATATGAAATCCGTGCATAATAAGAATCAACTGCAATCTTCATCTACACTGTGAAGAGTTATTTTTATTTCCTAAATTAAAAAGAAAATGAATCCCCGAGGTTTGAGGATGCTGAGTCACTTCCCTGAGGTCAGCTGGTTCCAGCAGCGCCGCTTCTGTCCTTCCACTGTGTGTCCCACTGCAGCTGAGGGAGCTCGGCTGTCCCGGGACAGGTCCCGAGTCAGCCAGGTGCTGTCCCCTGGCCTGCAAAGGGTTGTAACAAGTGAGACATGTCCACTTACATGTTTGTCCCTGAACTGGCTCCAAACAGGGTTTAAAGCCTATGGAATGAAATACACATCCTTCTGAAAAATACTCTGTTTCAAATAGTCTCCGTGTGGGGATCTTCCTTACAGGAGTTGCAAGTCAGTATTCTAGAAGGATGGTTAATGTGTACTATTTATTCAAATGATTTTCCTCAAAAATTACTTTTCCTTTTTATAAAAGTATCTAGGCTATTTGAGTACATGTTGAAAACACAGAAAAGCCAGAAGTATAAAATGTTAGCCATTTGCATGTCACACCAAGAAATACTCACTTTCAACAGTGGGTATGACTTCTCTCCAGTTTTTTCCCTCTTGTTTTTCTATGTGTATATATGTAAGAATATATTTTGGAGATTTAAAAAAATGTCATTGAACTATTTAATTGAGCATTGTTTAAGATGAATATTAGCACATATTCCTAATCATTGTGTGGAAACAGAATTGTTGCATCAAAGTGTATGAAAAAATATAAAGACCTTTTGACGATTATTGCTCAGTTGCTTTCAGGAAAGTTACATCAATGTCCTTTTCCCCCTAATGATGTCCAACATGCTTACCTTTCTTCCTTCTTGTGCATAGGGTATTACCTGGAGGAATTACCTTAACTGGTCTTATTTTAGGCATGTAAATGCCTTTGTAGTGACATGAGACTATACGTTGTTTAAAAAGTAAGACTCCTTTTTAGAATGCTCTCTAACTGAAACGCATTGTTCAGATCCCATCTCCCGCAGTCATAGGCTCTGTGTGCCATGCGGTTCTATGTCCCACCGCGAGAGGACAAGGGCATGGAGGTGGGCATCCCAGGGGACAGCCCCAGGGCGGGCGGGCAGGGCACGGGGAGACGAGCCGTGAGGGAGGCAGAGCCAGAGAAGCCGGAGAGATGGCTGGAGAGCGGGGGAGCAGGATGCCACTGTGACCAGGAAGAGGTAGTTTTCATAACGCTGTAAAGTTTCCATTGCACAACAATACAAATACCTCAGAAAGTATCCAAAAGTCCAGCAAGAGCAAAAACCCATCCATTTCACTGAGCAAAAAGGGAGGACAGAAGTCCGATTGCTGTGGGCAAGGCGCATGCGTCAGAGGCCTGTTTTTTTCGCACTGCCTGTTTCTGTTTAGTTCCCGTTGGATTTTTGTCTTGGAGAGTGTGTGTGGGGAGTGAACGTACAAACATGGGTTATTCTGGAAACAGCTGGCACGGATTGCTTCAGGCCACCTGCTTTGGGGGAAGAAGCAATTCCATAAATGCAAAAAAGCAAATAATTGCAGATACTATCTGCCTGCTTTTGAATTGCCATAAAAGGCCAATTCCAATTTTGTTCTAAAAATGGGCAAAAGATTTCAACTGACCCATCCTTGATGAAACATTTAAAACATGAATTTCCATCCACTCAGTAGCAATGTAAACTCCTAGCAGGAGGTAATCAGTTATTCCCGTAATGCATTGGTGGTGCTTTATTTTAGTACCATCCTGACGTGGGCACTGGTGAAGTGGCACTTTTTGTTTCAGTGACTGGCCCAAGTTCACACGTGGCATTGGATCCTATTCTCACAGGCCCCCATAGAAGCAACTACAGAGCCTCGTGTTTCAGCAGCTACCAAGACATTACTGAGGTTCAGAGCAATGCACTG